ATAATGACTGCCAGAAGACTGCAGAAGTGTTTCTGCACTGTTAGAGGACTGTGCGTTTCTGACTGCCTTCATTTTGATGTAAGTTCATAGTCAAGGTCATCAGACCGCACCGTGCGCATCGTAATGGTCAACGAAGCGACAATGCTATGTCTAGCTTTAAGTACAAACGTTGATGCGAGAATGATGCCTATGATGCCAAAGTCCTACTTATAGGCGCATACACGTGTGTGTGTGTCAGGGTGGACAGTTCGGTCCCATCTGCCAGTACTTCGATCTAGCATATCAGAATAAACTAAAATTCGGCGCTGAAGTCAAAGGCAACCAGCCAGGAGGCGCACCATGAAAATCAGGATGCCACGCACAAATGCTAAAGGAAATGTATACATCTAGTCTGAAAATCATGCACCGGAACACGGAGAGATTTGAAAATAAAAGATTAGAACTAGAAAACACTTTAAATAAAGAGCAGATACACGTCTGCTGCCTCCAGGAGACCTACCTCAAAAAGACATGGCCTTTAAGATCAGAGGCTACCAATGTTACTGCTCTGACAGAAAAGACAGAAGGAAGGGTGGAATACTATCCCTAGTCAAAGATAACATATTGGCATGCCAAACTGAAACATACATGGAAGGGCTGGAGTACAAGATTTTTCAGCTCAAGACAGAAAACACAGATTCCAACTAATCAACTATTACTATCCGAGCGACCGCCACCAGGTACTGGATACAATAGTAGTAAATAAAAGAATGATTGTGTGTGGAGATTCAACAGTCATTCAGAGAGCTGGGGCTACGATCACATGAATCAGAGGGGAGAGTTCTTGTTGTTTTTGTTGTTATCGATCCAGCGGCGCATGAGCTTTTGCCCTTTGGCCCAATGCCATGTAGTGGAATTTGCATGTTTTCACAAGCTGTTCTTTTCCTCCGTACAAGGTGTTCCACTTGTCTGGTCTCAGAGGGAGTAGCATTCTTCGAGTCTCGCTGAGTTTTGGGCACTCAAAGAGATGGTGGTTTCGTAGTTGTAGTTACATAGCTGGCACTCTGGGGAGTGTTGTGTCTGTATTCTGCTTAGATGTCCACTGAGTGGAGTATGTTGCGTTTTAAGTCTGGTCCCTTCTTGTTAGATGGTTAATGCTGTCATTAGGATCAGGGCCAGACATATGTCTATAAACCTCTCTTCCAGTGTCTCCCATGGCCCATCTGTTCAACCAAGTCTCTTTGTTTATAGCTGTCTGTACAGTTGTCGCTGTAGGTGGTTGTTCTTGTGGTGCTCCTTTCTTTGCCAATCTGTCAGCTATGTCATTACATGGTGTGCCAGAGTGGCATGGAATCCACTGCATCACTATTCTGATGTTGTATGAGGTAATGAGCTGATCAGCATCTAGGATTATCTTGGCTATGTCAGTTCTGCAGCATTCACTGCCCTCCAGAGCTTGAAGGGCAGACACTGAATCTGCAAAGATGACAATATTTTGGGCCTTTGAAGGGTAAACATCCAATACAGTCTTTAGGTGGTATACTGCTGTTTCCAGTGCAATTATTTCAGCTTCATAATTTGAGCAGAACTCCCCACATGCATCAAAAATCTCTTCAACAGATCCATCGGGATAACCTATGTAGATTCCATAACCTGCTTTAATGGTAGCTTTAAATGCAGATCCACCAGTATAAACATGTATCCATTCTTGGGGGTAAGAATCAACGGTCTTTAGTGATGAGTTCATAAGAGCGATTGGGTCGGACTGTTTGGTTTCCTCGCCTACCAATTTAATTCGGCCTTCTGGAGCTTTAAAGCGAGCATGTGGTGGTAGGTTTCTTGCAACATTCTGAATGCCTTGACGTCTTTCTGGGATGTGGTATCTGTACTGAATTACATAAACACAGTGTAAAACTGATTTGTGCTTAATTCTTTGTTTGTATTCCCAGTTTTCTACAAGGTGTCTGTTAGGATGGTAACCATTCTTTCTAACGCATCTTTCATAAATTTCTAAAGTGGCTTTTTCTCTCCGCAACCCGAGGGGTTCCACATTTGTATGGATTTCACATGCAGCAGAGTAGACCGCATAGCTCCGCAGATTAATCGGAGGGCATTATTTTGTACTCTGTCAAGAGTCTCTAGGTTAGTTTTGGAGCAGGTTGTAGGCAGTGAGTTGTTGTACTCTATCACAGAGCGAACATATCCAAGATATAAGCCCCCTTGTCTGATCCCCATGATGTACCTGCAAGTCAGAGGGGAGAGAAGCTAGAGGACTGGCAGGATGCAAACAGATTCATTCTCATAAATAAGCCAACTGACCCACCAACCTTCTACTCAAGAGCATGGCATACCACTTCTACGCCAGATCTGGCCTTGCATTCACCAGACATGGAATGGGATATTACTAGAACTGTCAGGAAACAACTAGGAAGCAGCGATCACCGCCCAGGCTTTTTAAAAACAGAAAACCAATTTGTAAGAAACAGCAGCACTCTCCCAAGATGAAATTACAAGAAGGCAGACTGGAAATTGTATCGGCACTTTACAAGTGTTTTGGTTGAAAATATAAAAAATATATAACAATGCAGACAAAGTAGTAGAAGAGTTCAGCAAATGTATATTGCAGGTAACCATGGAAACAATACCAAGAGGTGCGCAAAAGCAATGTAAACCATACTGGAATTGTGACAGAACAGTTACACAATGATATGGAAACTGAAAGAAAGAAAGCCGAAATAAGACCTCGTCAGGAGCAATTCAACAAATACTAACATGCTAAAGCCAGATTTAAAAGAAGAGCCAATCTGCAGGCTAGAAGGACATGTTGGAAAGAAAAAACAAAGTCTCTAAACTTTGAAAGAGAGACAAGGAAGATGTGTAGTCTGGTAAAACAAATTAATAACGAGAGTACAGGAAGAACGGCAAATACTACAATATATTCAGAAGGAGTCACCCTATTAAAAAAAAAAAGGTGGCTGATCAATTTGCAGATTTATTTGCTGAAGACAGCAACATTGATGTCAGTCCACAGAAACAGCGAGAGGTTAAAGAGAAACGACAACAATCAAGACACAACAATATAATTCTCCTGGTAATGAAAGCACCACTTACATTTAGCAAATTAGAATTGAAGCTGAAAATGGGAAAGTCGCCTGGAATTGATGGAAAACAAACGAAATGATCAAGAACCTAGGGACCACAGCCAAATCAAAACTGCTGCAGTTTTTTTTATATTTGTTGGGCCAGTGGCAAAGTACTACAGATATGGAGAGAAGTAACTATGATACCTCTCCTTAAACCAGAAAAAGACAGTACCAATGCCTCCATTTACAGACCAATCAGCCTTACCAGCTGTCTCTGTAAAACAATGGAACACATTGTGAACCTTAGACTTCAATGGTACATAGAAAAAGAAAACATCTTCACGCCACAGCAGGCAGGCTTTAGACTTTGCTACTCTACAGAAGACCAGACAACTTATTTCTCTCAAGAAACTGAAGATGACTTCCAAGAAAAGAAACTAGTGCTTGTAGCATGGATAGATTTGAAGAAAGCTTTTGATAAGGTCTGGAAAGACATCTCATGGAGAAAACAGCCACCCTAGCTCTACTTGATAACGAATGCCCACATAATCTTTGGGTTCGTGTCTTTACGGATGGGTCAGCAGAAAATGCAAGCAGAAATGGAGGAGCAGGAGTGTATATTGAGCATCCAAATAATACCAGATATACAGCCAAAATACCTACAGGAAAGTTCTGTCACAACTATGATGAAGAAATTCAAGCTGTCAAAATAACAGCAGAGAAACTGTTAGATATATGTCATATTTCACAACCCCTGGTATTTCTGATAGATGCAATAGTGGTGCTTCAGGCACTCCAATCTGGAAAACTACCTGGCATACAAACACTAATTTCCAAACTAGGCAGCCGGTGTGAGGTAATTATGCAATGGATACCATTCCACTGTGGAGTTCCTGGAAATGAAAGGGCTGATAAACTAGCTAAGGAAGGTAAAATGGAGAACAACCTGACGTACCAGTCTCTTTAACAAAATAAGAGAATAATCAAATCTATCAGATAGCCACAAAAACCGGCACAAGAGGATTACCATTTTATAAACAGACTTCGCAGCCACATGTACACAAAATTTAAAATCAGTGAATCAGCCATGTGCACATGTGGACTGGCACCTGAGACAACAGATCATGTCCGCCAAGACTGTCCCAAACACAACATATCAAGGCAAAACTTTTGGCCAAGTGAAACATTGTTGCAAGTCAAACTTTATGAGTCACTGAGTGAATTACAAAAGACAGGGAAGTTCACACTAGAGACAACATTGCAGAAATAGATAATCTATTTCAAGCGAACAAAAGAAGAAGAATTGTTTATAATTATAGCAGACATTTTGTCATGCTTTTGATACGTTTTCTGTGTCCCCTAGGCTTGTGAACTCTAGTGCCCTGGCACTGCATTAGATTTCTGGCCCTGGTTTAGTTCATGATTGATATTTGTTGTTTCAGTATGATCACTAAATGTTGACATGTCAACATTCTGATTATTTCAACCATAAGTATGTATTGTGATTCAACAAGAATGCTTCATCTTGACTATGAAACACAGTTGGGAGCTATATAAATTGTGTCAACTAGATATTTTCCAGGTGTCCACATTTTCTATTCAAGTGGGTCCCACAACAGGAATTCTTGTCTGCTTATAAAATTCTATCCTGGGACAAAACCCGAAGACAAAATTATAATCGAGAAAATTCAGAAGAATAGTAAAGATAGAAAACACACAAGAGAACAGAAATACTGAAATCTGTGGATGGAATATGAAGCTAGAATAAAGAAATCACATATTTAAGAACTGGATACCAACCAGTCTTCCAAATAAATAACATGAAAAGATATAGCTACTGATTTGCTGTACAATGCTATCACACTCTTCTATAACTGCATGAGTAAAGAATAACATAGAGCAGATAAAACTGATCAACACAGTAAGTATTCAACTGACCTTCCGCTCTCAGATACAAGTTGTCCATAAAGTGGGGAGATGTAAGAACTGTCTACATCAAAGCTAATGACCTGGTGACAGAAAGTTGCAATCATTTTAAAACATTCAGCTTTCATTTTCTTATAAAGTATTTTTTAAATTAATATTTAAATAAACTAAAAACAAAATTTTCCCCACAAAACAGATAATGAATTTACCCACATGCTAATGTGTACATCTTATGAAAGGAGAGCAAAATCCATAACAGCTCTTTGCAATGTGTGTACAGACCTACCACACCAGAGTTTAAATGACAGTCATCCACCTATGAACAAAACTGTTCCACTGTTACCTTGCATGGACTAGGTGAGTCAAACAGAGAGCGAGACAAAACTTCTCTTTGTCAGCTGGTGACATTTTTATCCTCATCAGAAACTATGAAATATAAATCTGTTAATTAGATGTTTTAATCAAGGAGTTTGAGCAATGTTCAAACATACACGTCAAAAAATGGTTCCCATATCAGGATTTCTGGCATCAAATATTGATTTGTATTTGATTATTATATCAAATCTTATTAGCTCCATGACATTTAAAACATCTGCTTGGTGGTTAAGGCCACATCCCCAGCAGCAAAAGATCTGCCTGACCAATTCTTGGATCAACCAATTCTTGGATCAATCAATTCTTGGATCAACCAATTCTTGGATCAACCAATTCTTGGATCAACCAATTCTTGGATCAACCAATTCTTGGATCAACCAAAACTTTTGCTAATGAATTTCCTCAAACCTGAAAAGCAAAATCAGCAAGCAAAGGAGCTTGTCCACACACCTTAGCTCATCTTTTCTTGCCCACACACCTTAGCATATTATCTTTTCTTGCCCACACACCTTAGCATATTATCTTTTCTTGCCCACACACCTTAGCATATTATCTTTTCTTGCCCACACACCTTAGCATATTATCTTTTCTTGCCCACACACCTTAGCATATTATCTTTTCTTGCCCACACACCTTAGCACATCTTTTCTTGTCCACACACCTTAGCATATTATCTTTTCTTGCCCACACACCTTAGCATATCTTGTCTTGTCCACACACCTTAGCATATCTTGTCTTGCCCACACACCTTAGCATATCTTGTCTTGCCCACACACCTTAGCATATTATCTTTTCTTGCCCACACACCTTAGCATATTATCTTTTCTTGCCCACACACCTTAGCACATCTTTTCTTGTCCACACACCTTAGCATATTATCTTTTCTTGCCCACACACCTTAGCATATCTTGTCTTGTCCACACACCTTAGCACATCTTTTCTTGTCCACACACCTTAGCATATCTTGTCTTGTCCACACACCTTAGCATATCTTGTCTTGTCCACACACCTTAGAATATCTTGTCTTGTCCACACACCTTAGCATATTATCTTTTCTTGCCCACACACCTTAGCACATCTTGTCTTGTCCACACACCTTAGCATATCTTGTCTTGCCCACACACCTTAGCATATTATCTTGTCTTGCCCACACACCTTAGCATATTATCTTTTCTTGCCCACACACCTTAGCACTTCTGTTCTTGTCTACATACCTTAGCATATCTTATCTTGCCCACACACCTTAGCATATCTTGTCTTGCCCACACACTTTAGCATATTATCTTTTCTTGCCCACACACCTTAGCACATCTTTTCTTGTCCACACACCTTAGCATATCTTGTCTTGCCCACACACCTTAGCATATCTTGTCTTGCCCACACACCTTAGCAAATCTTGTCTTGTCCACACACCTTAGCAAATCTTGTCTTGCCCACACACCTTAGCATATCTTGTCTTGCCCACACACCTTAGCACATCTTTTCTTGTCCACACACCTTAGCATATCTTGTCTTGTCCACACACCTTAGCATATTATCTTTTCTTGCCCACACACCTTAGCATATCTTGTCTTGCCCACACACCTTAGCACATCTTGTCTTGCCCACACACCTTAACATTGATGTCGGTATCAAGACAACCTGTACATTGATGTCTGTATCAAGACAACCTGTACACTGATGTCTGTATCAAGACAACCTGTACACTGATGTCTGTATCAAGACAACCTGTACACTGATGTCTGTATCAAGACAACCTGTACACTGATGTCTGTATCAAAACAACCTGTACATTGATGTCTGCATCAAGACAACCTGTACACTGATGTCTGTATCAAGACAACCTGTGCATTGATGTCAGTATCAAGACAACCTGTACATTGATGTCGGTTTCAAGACAAACTGTACATAGATGTCTGTATCAAGACAACCTGTACATTGATGTCTGTATCAAGACAACCTGTACATTGATGTCTGAATCAAGACAACCTGAACACTGACGTCTGTATGAATACAACCTGTACACTGACGTCTGTATGAAGACAACCTGTACACTGACGTCTGTATAAAGACAACCTGTACACTGACGTCTGTATGAAGACAAACTGTACACTGATGCCTGTATGAAGACAAGCTGTACACTGACGTCTGTATGAAGACAACCTGTACACTGACATCTGTATAAGACAACCTGTACACTGATGTCTTTATCAAGACAATCTGTACATTGACGTCTGTATGAAGACAACCTGTACACTGACGTCTGTATGAAGACAACCTGTACATTGACGTCTGTATGAAGACAACCTGTACACTGTCATCTGTATGAAGACAACCTGTACACTAATGCCTGTATGAAGACAACCTGTACACTGATGCCTGTATGAAGACAACCTGTACATTGATGTCTGTATCAAGACAACCTGTACACTGTCATCTGTATGAAGACAACCTGTACACTGATGCCTGTATGAAGACAACCTGTACAATGACGTCTGTATGAAGACAACCTGTACATTGATGTCTGTATCAAGACAACCTGTACACTGACATCTGTATCAAGACAACCTTTACACTCATGTCTGTATGAAGACAACCTGTACACTGATGTCTGTATCAAGACTACCTGTACACTGATGTCTGTATGAAGACAACCTGTACACTGATGTCTGTATCAAGACAACCTGTACACTGACGTCTGTATCAAGACAACCTGTACGCTGAAGTCTGTATGAAGATAACCTGTACACTGACGTCTGTATCAAGAAAACCTGTACACTGATGTCTGTATGAAGACAACCTGTACATTGAGGTCTGAATCAAGACAACCTGTACACTGATGTCTGTATCAAGACAACCTATACACTGACGTATGTATTAAGACAACCTGTACACTGATGTCTGTATGAAGACAACCTGTACACTGACATCTGTATGAAGACAACCTGTACATTGATGTCTGTATCAAGACAATCTGTACAGAGATGTCAAGTTCCAGCTTCTCCAGGGACCCTCAAGTGAAAAGTTATAATTTAGAGAACGACTCACAAATAACAGCCCTGAATTAAATCCAGTTACTGAGAACATGCTAGACTTATGATTATTATATGTTATATTCTTCATCTTAATGAACTCTAGACTTGTATTTATTAAAGATTTTAAGAACCTGCTGTTTTGCAACATGTTGTTTTCTGAATATTGTTGATATTGTCTTTCTTTTATGTATGCGATTTGTGTCTACCATAACCCCTGTCTTCCCATACTATATTAAAGGTGGGAGGAAGGGGGAAAGGGGGGGGGAGAGGGGGAGGGAGGGAGGGAGAGAAAGAGAGAGAGACAGAGAGGGAGAGAGGGGGAGGGAGAGAGAGAAAGAGAGAGAGAGAGAGAGAGAGAGAGAGAGAGAGAGAGAGAGAGAGAGAGAGAGAGAGAGAGAGACAGAGAGAAAGAGACAGAGAGAGAATCATGCATGCCCGCACTTCCATGAGTGGTGAGTATCTTCTTCCCTGAGTGGTGAGTATCTACTTTCCTGAGTGGTGAGTATCTTCTTCCATGAGTGGTAAGTATTTTCTTCCAGACACAAGAAGGGTGAATTGACTCACCACATGACACTAGCTCTGACATTTCGGGGTCCTAAAACATCTCACCACATGACACTACCTCTGACATTCCGGGGTCCTAAAACATCTCACCACATGACACTACCTCTGACATTCCGGGGTCCTAAAACATCTCACCACATGACACTACCTCTGACATTACGTGGTCCTAAAACATCTCACCACATGACACTAGTTCTGACATTCAGGGGTCCTAAAACATCTCACCACATGACACCAGCTCTGACATTCCGGGGTCCTAAAACATACTAATTTATATGCTGGTTAACAGGGACTTGTTCATTCTTCTACCAAATATGCTTTAGCCGTTCTCACTTTGAGCCATACTCAGACTGAAAGACTTGAGAAAGTGCAAAACAAGGCAATGCGCATTATTCTGGGGTGCACAAAAGAACACCACTAGTGAAGCAGTGAGATACCTTCTTGACTTCCTTACCTTGAACTATAAGATCAAGATCTGAAAGGCTCGTGCATACCTCAAGATAAGCTCTGATGTGAAGCACCCTTTGCACCTCATTATCTTCAGGGAAAAATGGCAACAGACTAAAAAGGGACAAATCATGGCTAGGTATGGCAGAGGATGACATCAAGCAGGTCTACAGTCTCACAGACATCCCCCCTGGTGAGGTAGGACAGAGGATGACATCAAGCAGGTCTGTAGTCTCACAGACATCCACCCTGGTGAAGTAGGGCAGAGGATGACATCAAGCAGGTCTACAGTCTCACAGACATCCCCCCTGGTGAGGTAGGGCAGAGGATGACATCAAGCAGGTCTGTAGTCTCACAGACCCTCCATCCTGGTGAGGTAGGGCAGAGGATGACATCAAGCAGGTCTGTAGTCTCACAGACATCCACCCTGGTGAGGTAGGGCAGAGGATGACATCAAGCAGGTCTACAGTCTCACAGACATCCCCCCTGGTGAGGTAGGACAGAGGATGACATCAAGCAGGTCTGTAGTCTCACAGACATCCATCCTGGTGAGGTAGGACAGAGGATGACATCAAGCAGGTCTGCAGTCTCACAGACATCCACCCTGGTGAGATAGGGCAGAGGATGACATCAAGCAGGTTTCTAGTCTTACAGACATCCATTCTGGTGCCCAGTCTCACCTTCTCCTGTGTCATCACACTCGGTAGGAGTAATAGGGAATAAATCTGTTGCTGTCAACGCTGAAGTCTGCGCACTTATCAATGGCAAGTCAGATGAGACCGATGTTTTGATCTACACAGACGGTCTGTTATATAAGGACATAAGACTGCATGGGCATTTACAGCCTGCTTTTCAGGCAGCAGTGTCTTCTCCATAACTACGAGCAGCATGACGATGGAGGTGATGGAAGTTACACACGTTTTTATGTGGCTAGAATCACAGAACTATTCACACATGTGTGTGAGTGATTCTTTGAGCCTGATATGGTGGGTCACACAGAGGACTAGTCATTGCTACACTCTCGTGTGTGTGCATTTACCTTCATATTTGTCCTAGGGCATGTAGATGTTGTTGGCAATGAAACAGTTGATAGACTAGTAGGTTCTACCTTAACTGCAGATGGCCGGCCCATGGATTACACAGCCATTGTCAATGCCCTTAGAGAGGACGTTCAAAGGATTTTGGAAGCATTATGGGAAAATATTGGCACAGCCAAGCATGAGAAACACACCAGTAGCACACACGGCACAGCCAAGCATGAGAAACACACCAGTAGCACACACGGCACAACCAAGCATGAGAAACACACCAGTAGCACACACGTCACAGCCAAGCATGAGAAACACACCAGTAGCACACACGTCACAGCCAAGCATGAGAAACACACCAGTAGCACACACGTCACAGCCAAGCATGAGAAACACATCAGTAGCTCACACGTCACAGCCAAGCATGAGAAACACACCAGTAGCACACACGTCACAGCCTAGCACGAGAATCACACCAGTAGCACACACATCACAGCCAAGCATGAGAAACACACCGGTAGCACACACGTCACAGCCTAGCACGAGAATCACACCAGTAGCACACACGTCACAGCCAAGCATGAGAAACACACCAGTAGCACACACGGCACAACCAAGCATGAGAAACACACCAGTAGCACACACGTCACAGCCAAGCATGAGAAACACACCAGTAGCACACATGGCACAGCCAAGCATGAGAAACACACCAGTAGCACACACGTCACAGCCAAGCATGAGAAACACACCAGTAGCACACACGTCACAGCCAAGCATGAGAAACACACCAGTAGCTCACACGGCACAGCCAAGCATGAGAAACACACCAGTAGCACACATGGCACAGCCAAGCATGAGAAACACACTAGTAGCTCACACGTCACAGCCAAGCATGAGAAACACACCAGTAGCTCACACGTCACAGCCAAGCATGAGAAACACACCAGTAGCACACATGGCACAGCCAAGCATGAGAAACACACCAGTAGCTCACACGTCACAGCCAAGCATGAGAAACACACCAGTAGCACACATGGCACAGCCTAGCATGAGAAACACACCAGTAGCACACACGGCACAACCAAGCATGAGAAACACACCAGTAGCACACACGGCACAGCCAAGCATGAGAAACACACCAGTAGCACACATGGCACAGCCTAGCACGAGAAACACACCAGTAGCACACAAAGTCTTGTCAATCAGCACAGTCTGGCACTATTAACTGCGTGACGCTGATGAATATTTTTATGGGGGTGGGGGATCTGAGCATCTATGAATGTGTCTGGTTGTGCTGTGAAGATAATCCAACTCATGACTCATGATAATATTTTATTTGTCTTCCTTCTGCAATTAATTATGTTGTCCATGACTATTAATACAACTGGTAATTTGACTGCTTCAACTTGGTCTTGTAGTTTTCTTCCAGCTGTTTATTAGTATGCTGCTTGAGCATATACTTGTATGCATACAGCTTTGTCAAAAGGTCTTGTAAGTCAAATGATAATAATGTTACAGCTCACATTCGAGGATATTTCCCCATTTTCTGTGTCAGAGGCATCAGGTACTTAAAACATACATGGCTTTTAAGTCCACTCAAGATAATATGAATCATTCCACAGACAACTGTTCTACAGACAATTGCTAACAAAAAGCTGTTAAGACCAATCAGCATTTGTGAACACTGATCAATGATGAACTCACCTGAGTTAAACTTTTAGGTTTTGCTGCCTTCAGACTGTGCTCACTCTTATCAACAGGCTTGGCAAGAACTACCTCCACTTTAGAGCCATCTATGATGCTATCTATAAAGGGTGAAAAAAAGCACATGGTGACGCAACATTGTATTTAGATACAGTTATTTGTGAAATCAATTATTTTACTTACAAGTTTGTAAGTAAACTTAAGGGGGTGGTGTGGACTGAGGGGGGGGGGGGAGAGAGAGAGATAAGCAGTGTCAGACAGGGTTGCCAGATTAAAAAAAAAAAAAAAAACATTTCATGCCAAACCATAACCCAAAATACGCCAGAAAATTGCCAAATAAAGTGTAACATTGTACTCACTTCACATCAAAAGCTCTAGATTGAATTCTTCACTGTCATCCTCACTGGAACCAGTGGAAGATGCAGCATAAACCTTTTAAGATGGAAAATCTTTAAGAATTTCCTCAGATACGATGGTCTTTGCAACATTTCTTTGATATCAATAGCTCTGCTCTAATTCTGACATCAAGAAAATCCAGTTGTATTTTGTTTCTTGCTTCTGGTTTAATTAAAGTAACAAGAGAGAATATTCTCTCATCTCCAGCATTGCTAACTGGTATTACGTCATGGAAGAAAAAATTAAAATGTCCTGCAAAATTATTCTGCACAATTTTGGAGAGAAAAAAAGGGGGGGGGGGGGGGGTCTCCGTTGTTTTCCTTTCGGAGGGGAAGCGGGGCCTCAGTTGTTGTTTTCTTTGGTCGATTGAGGGGGGGGGGGGGGGGGGGGGGGGGGGGGGGGGGGGGGGGGGTACATTTTAAAACATGTTTGTTACACTGATTCCTTCCTGGAGATCATCACTGGAGCTAAGGAGTTCATGTTTTCTGCTATGTTTTTGCCAAGCGGCTAGCTTTTCTTGAAGAGTGTTCTTGAAGAGTGACCGAGCCATATGGAATCAAACCTGAAACAATAAAGTCTCCACTTAAGCTTTTCAAGCGTATGTTCTGTTTTCTTGGGTACCTGGCCAATTAACAGCAGTTGTCTACCAAGACAAATCAAACATGGACCTTCCATCATGCAAGAGAGGGGACCAAGACAAATCAAACATGGACTTTCCATCATACAAGAGAGGGGACCAAGACAAATCAAACATGGACCTTTGATCATACAAGAAAAGGGACCAAGACAAATCAAACATGGACTTTCCATCATACAAGAGAGGGGACCAAGACAAATCAAACATGGACTTTCCATCATACAAGAGAGGGGACCAAGACAAATCAAACATGGACCTTTGATCATACAAGAGAGGGGACCAAGACAAATCAAACATGGACCTTCCATCATACAAGAGAGGGGACCAAGACAAATCAAACATGGACCTTCCATCATACAAGAGAGGGGACCAAGACATATCAAACATGGACCTTCCATCATACAAGAGAGGGAACCAAGACAAATCAAACATGGACCTTCCATCATACAAGAGAGGGGACCAAGACAAATCAAACATGGACTTTCCATCATACAAGAGAGGGGACCAAGACAAATCAAACATGGACCTTTGATCCTACAAGAAAGGGGACCAAGACAAATCAAACATGGACCTTCGATCATACAAGAGAGGGGACTAAGACAAATCAAACATGGACCTTCCATCATACAAGAGAGGGGACCAAGACAAATCAAACATGGACTTTCCATCATACAAGAGAGGGGACCAAGACAAATCAAACATGGACTTTCCATCATACAAGAGAGGGGACCAAGACAAATCAAACATGGACCTTCCATCATGCAAGAGAGGGGACCAAGACAAATCAAACATGGACCTTTGATCATACAAGAGAGGGGACCAAGACAAATCAAACATGGACCTTTGATCATACAAGAAAAGGGACCAAGACAAATCAAACATGGACTTTCCATCATACAAGAGAGGGGACCAAGACAAATCAAACATGGACTTTCCATCATACAAGAGAGGGGACCAAGACAAATCAAACATGGACCTTTGATCATACAAGAGAGGGGACCAAGACAAATCAAACATGGACTTTCCATCATACAAGAGAGGGGACCAAGACAAATCAAACATGGACCTTTGATCATACAAGAAAAGGGACCAAGACAAATCAAACATGGACTTTCCATCATACAAGAGAGGGGACCAAGACAAATCAAACATGGACCTTTGATCATACAAGAAAAGGGACCAAGACAAATCAAACATGGACTTTCTATCATACAAGAGAGGGGACCAAGACAAATCAAACATGGACTTTCCATCATACAAGAGAGGGGACCAAGACAAATCAAACATGGACCTTTGATCATACAAGAGAGGGGACCAAGACAAATCAAACATGGACTTTCCATCATACAAGAGAGGGGACCAAGACAAATCAAACATGGACCTTTGATCATACAAGAAAAGGGACCAAGACAAATCAAACATGGACTTTCCATCATACAAGAGAGGGGACCAAGACAAATCAAACATGGACCTTTGATCATACAAGAGAAGGGACCAAGACAAATCAAACATGGACCTTTGATTATACAAGAGAGGGGACCAAGACAAATCAAACATGGACCTTTGATCATACAAGAGAGGGGACCAAGACAAATCAAACATGGACCTTCCATCATACAAGAGAGGGGACCAAGACAAATCAAACATGGACCTTCCATCATACAAGAGAGGGGACCAAGACATATCAAACATGGACCTTCCATCATACAAGAGAGGGAACCAAGACAAATCAAACATGGACCTTCCATCATACAAGAGAGGGGACCAAGACAAATCAAACATGGACTTTCCATCATACAAGAGAGGGGACCAAGACAAATCAAACATGGACCTTTGATCCTACAAGAAAGGGGACCAAGACAAATCAAACATGGACCTTCGATCATACAAGAGAGGGGACTAAGACAAATCAAACATGGACCTTCCATCATACAAGAGAGGGGACCAAGACAAATCAAACATGGACTTTCCATCATACAAGAGAGGGGACCAAGACAAATCAAACATGGACCTTCGATCCTACAAGAAAGGGGACCAAGACAAATCAAACATGGACCTTCGATCATACAAGAGAGGGGACTAAGACAAATCAAACATGGACCTTTGATCATACAAGAGAAGGGACCAAGACAAATCAAACATGGACCTTTGATCATACAAGAAAAGGGACCAAGACAAATCAAACATGGACTTTCCATCATACAAGAGAGGGGACCAAGACAAATCAAACATGGACCTTTGATCATACAAGAGAAGGGACCAAGACAAATCAAACATGGACCTTTGATCATACAAGAGAAGGGACCAAGACAAATCAAACATGGACCTTTGATCATACAAGAGAGGGGACCAAGACAAATCAAACATGGACCTTTGATCATACAAGAGAGGGGACCAAGACAAATCAAACATGGACCTTTGATCATACAAGAGAAGGGACCAAGACAAATCAAACATGGACCTTTGATCATACAAGAGAGGGGACCAAGACAAATCAAACATGGACCTTTGATCATACAAGAGAGGGGACCAAGACAAATCAAACATGGACCTTTGATCATACAAGAGAGGGGACCAAGACAAATCAAACATGGACCTTTGATCATACAAGAGAAGGGACCAAGACAAATCAAACATGGACCTTTGATCATACAAGAGAGGGGACCAAGACAAATCAAACATGGACCTTTGATCATACAAGAGAGGGGACCAAGACAAATCAAACATGGACCTTTGATCATACAAGAGAAGGGACCAAGACAAATCAAACATGGACCTTTGATCATACAAGAAAAGGGACCAAGACAAATCAAACATGGACTTTCCATCATACAAGAGAGGGGACCAAGACAAATCAAACATGGACCTTTGATCATACAAGAGAGGGGACCAAGACAAATCAAACATGGACCTTTGATCATACAAGAGAGGGGACCAAGACAAATCAAACATGGACCTTTGATCATACAAGAGAGGGGACCAAGACAAATCAAACATGGACCTTTGATCATACAAGAGAGGGGACCAAGACAAATCAAACATGGACCTTTGATCATACAAGAGAGGGGACCAAGACAAATCAAACATGGACCTTTGATCATACAAGAGAGGGGACCAAGACAAATCAAACATGGACCTTTGATCATACAAGAGAGGGGACCAAGACAAATCAAACATGGACCTTTGATCATACAAGAGAGGGGACCAAGACAAATCAAACATGGACCTTTGATCATACAAGAGAGGGGACCAAGACAAATCAAACATGGACCTTTGATCATACAAGAGAGGGGACCAAGACAAATCAAACATGGACCTTTGATCATACAAGAGAGGGGACCAAGACAAATCAAACATGGACTTTCCATCATACAAGAGAGGGGACCAAGACAAATCAAACATGGACCTTTGATCATACAAGAGAGGGGACCAAGACAAATCAAACATGGACCTTTGATCATACAAGAGAGGGGACCAAGACAAATCAAACATGGACTTTCCATCATACAAGAGAGGGGACCAAGACAAATCAAACATGGACCTTTGATCATACAAGAGAGGGGACCAAGACAAATCAAACATGGACCTTTGATCATACAAGAGAGGGGACCAAGACAAATCAAACATGGACCTTTGATCATACAAGAGAGGGGACATGTTTAACAAAGCTGCTAGAGTAATAAGGAGATGAGTCATTTAAATATGAACAACATTACAAGAAGACAAGGTTTCAAACCAGTCATACAATTCCAATAAATAACAACAAATGAAATGGTTTAGCCACCTGACAATTAGGCTGCACTATCAACCACCACACAGTGCCAATTTGGGAGAATATAATGAGCATAAAGCAAGGGGCAGACCAAGCAAAACTGTGAATCAATGGCATCAAGAACAAATTTAATAAAATGTTGAATGTTTAATTAGGAATCAACATCACAGCACTAAGGACATTCCCATAAGCACTCTGCCATCATCTTCAGCAGCAAGCACAGAGTTCCCATTCCAGTAATACCAGTCTGACTGTATATACATCTCACCTTTCCCTTAGTGCCAGATCCCCTAGTCACTTCTCGCAGCCTTTTTCTCTACAGACAGTAAAGATCAATCTGTGCTTCCCCACTATTCACTCGCCAGTCTATCTCTCTGTTAATTTCCTAATACACCGGCATATCCTGCAGAAAATATTTTTTAAAATGCTAATTACCCGGGGCCTATGAAGCAGTGTTTGTCACTCTTCACGGAGCATTCCGGTCATCACTTTTCTCAACATTTTCTGTGAGTTGGTTACAATTGTGACACCTGTGTACAGCTGATTCTCAAGCTAGCAAAAGGCTGCAATGAGCTTCTACCTCCATTCTTGAACTAGTGGTTATGAGACACTCTGACCACCTCCTCTCCTCGTTCAAAGTTATCAAGCCTGCACACATGTCTAATTGTGTTTTCAGCTTCATCATCCAAGACTTTTCTCTTTTCAGTCTGTGACAGTATTCCAGAACAAACCCCATGGAGAGAGAAATGCAAACTAACAGTACAAATCCAGACAAATGTGAAAGGGATATTTGACAAGAAAGAGCAAGATAGTGTACAACGCAGAATGGCCACCCTCAGTTATATTGATGAAGAATACCCACAAGAACAATGGGTCAGAGTCTATACAGATGGGTCCGCAGAAAGTGCAGTTAGAAATGGTGGTGCTGGAGTGTACATCGAATTCCCAGATGGTACTAAGGATAAGTCCAGCGTACCAACCGGGAAGTACTGCCATAACTATGAAGCAGAAACTCAGGCTATCAAGATAGAAACAGAGAAACTGCTAAATACCAATCTTTACTCACAGTATGTGGTAATGCTGACAGATGCTAAATCCGTACTTGAAGCACTCCAGTCTAGGAAACTACCAGAATTGCAAACACTGCTGACACAACTTAGCCTTCAGCAAAGAGTCGTAATGCAGTGGATACCGTCACATTGTGGAGTGCCTGGAAATGAGAAAGCTGATCAACTGGCAGGGAAAGATGCGACAAAAGGGCAGCCGGATGTACAAGTCACATACCACCAAAAAAAAAAGAATCATTAAATCGATCATTAAACCACCAGCCACAGCACAAGACAACTATTTTATTATGGACAGACCAGAACAAGTCATTATCCTCCGCCTCAGAACAGGGCACAACCGATTACGTAACCACATGTACACAAAATTCAAGATAGGTGTATCAGCTATGTGCACCTGTGGAAATGTGCCCCAGACAGCAGAGCATGTACTCCAGGACTGCACCGAATTTGACACATTAGGGCAAACCTTTTGGCCAGAAAGAACAACAGTGGAACTTAAACTCTATGGACCACTGAATGAACTAACAACGACAGTGAAATTTATACAAGAGAAAAAACTGCTGATATAGACAACTTATTTCAGGTGAACGAAAGAAGAAGAAGAAGAAGTCTACGACCCTTAACTCTGCCTAGGGAGGAGCCGTTCAACTAATTTTAACTCAGTGATCAACATTTTGAAAATGAGATTGTCACGGGCCAGTGACCCTAGTTCCAGCATTAGGAGATCAAAAATACAGTACAACTGGGCATGATCCACGTGCCATATGCTAGGCCTTGGCTGCCCAAATCTGACATCAGTTAAATAACTCTGGTCCAGGGCTTCATGCAGGAGGTGCTTCTTGTCTGCAGCTACTCTGAGATATGGCTCAGCTTGTAGAACTTTGAGCCTGTCTGTAACAGTTGGCAGTGCAAACATATATTGCACACATACTAGCTTGTTACAAATTTTAGTAGTAGAGACTGAACATATCGTCCTTTTTTTTAACATTTGAAGTGATCTAGGACTTGGGTGTTTGTGTGTGTGTGTGTGTGTGTGTGTGTGTGTGTGTGGGTGTGGGTGGGTGGGTGTGTGTGTGTTCAGGTAGATGGGTGAATTGTGCGCGTGTGCGTGCGTGCAGGCGTTTGCACACTATTCAATATATTTATACCTGAAATACAAAATCTTTGTTCTTGTACTTTTTAATAGCTTCCCTGTAGCTCTGTAAGAGTATCTTTCTATCTGTAGCATGTTTTCTATCTGTAGCATGTTTTCTATCTGTAGCATGTTTTCTATCTGTAGCATGTTTTCTATCTGTAGCATGTTTTCTATCTGTAGCATGTTTTCTATCTGTAGCATGTTTTCTATCTGTAGCATGTTTTCTATCTGTAGCATGTTTTCTATCTGTAGCATGTTTTCTATCTGTAGCATGTTTTCTATCTGTAGCATGTTTTCTATCTGTAGCATGTTTTCTATCTGTAGCATGTTTTCTATCGTCATAGGCTAATCGCAGTGGATCATATATTTATGAAGGGGTACCTTCTTCCCTCAGAACTTCACCGAGATAACTGGAGGGCGAGAAGAAGGTATTTTTTGGTGTCTTCTTTAATTTCTTTAATATTATTTGAACTTTTCAAATGATAAGCTCATGATAATTGTTATAGTATTTTTTGTGTCTTGTTTTAACGGACAATAAGCAGTTTCCAAACTGACTGCATATTATTCTCATTGGAGACAAGCCAGTGTTCTTTATTTGACCAATTTTCCGGTATCACAGATTTAAAGCGCCTTATTTTAAATATACTTTTAAAATCATATAGATGTGAAGTTATTTATTGTAACCAACAATTTTCACATGCAAATCCATATTTACCACACTGTGAACATCTTACTTCAAAAGCATACTTAAAACAGTTTATATCATTAAAGAAACTTCGGCTACATAAATGCAAGCAAACACATAGGTACAGAACATGGACATAGATGCAAGCAAACACATAGGTACAGACACATGGACATAAATGCAAGCAAACACATAGGTACAGAACATGGACATAGATGCAAGCAAACACATAGGTACAGAACATGGACATAGATGCAAGCAAACACATAGGTACAGACACATGGACATAGATGCAAGCAAACACATAGGTACAGAACATGGACATAGATGCAAGCAAACACATAGGTACAGACACATGGACATAGATGCAAGCAAACACATAGGTACAGACACATGGACATAGATGCAAGCAAACACATAGGTACAGACACATGGACATAAATGCAAGCAAACACATAGGTACAGAACATGGACATAAATGCAAGCAAACACATAGGTACAGAACATGGACATAGATGCAAAAAACACATAGGTACAGACACATGGACATAAATGCACATATTTATAACATACCATTTAATATCTCCATGGCTTTCAACGCATCCTCCCTTTGTCGGAAATGAATAAATGCATAGTCCTTTAATTTCTTGACTCTTTCAATACAATCTTTCTTTCCAACAGCTTTTTCAAATATTTCTTGAAGGTGTTCCTCAGTTGTGGACAACATGAGATTACGAACATACAGAATTCGAACCTAGGTTTAAAAAAAATTGAGCAAGGTGTTAAAGTAAGTGATTATTTGTTTTATTTGTTTAAAAATAAGTGTTACAAATACAATGTGTCACCTGTCATTGTGTCACCTGTCATTGTGTCACCTGTCAGTGTGTCACCTGTCAGTGTGACATCTGTCAATGTGTCCCCTGTCAATGTGACATCTGTCAATGTGTCCCCTGTCAATGTGTCCCCTGTCAATGTGTCATCTGTCAATGTATCACCTGTCAATGTGTCACCTGTCAATGTGTCACCTGTCAATGTGTCACATGTCAATGTGTCACCTGTCAATGTGACATCTGTCAATGTGCTGTCAATGTGTCCCCTGTCAATGTGACATCTGTCAATGTGACATCTGTCAATGTGTCACATGTCAATGTGTCCCCTGTCAATGTGACATATGTCAATGTGTCACTTGTCAATGTGCTGTCAATGTGTCCCCTGTCAATGTGACATCTTTCAATGTGTCACCTGTCAATGTGTCATCTGTCAATGTGACATCTGTCAATGTGTCACCTGTCAATGTGCCCCATGTCAATGTGTCCCCTGTCAATGTGACATCTGTCAATGTGTCCCCTGTCAATGTGTCACCTGTCAATGTGACATCTGTCAATGTGTCCCCTATCAATGTGTCACCTGTCAATGTGACATCTGTCAATGTGTCGCCTGTCAATGTGTCGCCTGTCAATGTGTCACCTGTGAATGCCAGTAATGGGGAAAACAGACAAGGAAATGCCATAGCAGAGGCAGACATAATCTGTATAAATGATGGTAGACTAACTAGAATGGTAATGACTTGGTGATGCAGACACAGCCACTGATTTTGCATTTGTTAAGGAGGCAGACATCATCATTCATTGGCAACTTTTCATCTTTCTAGATGATAGTGTTATACTGTGCTATAAGGAGGCATGAGACTCACAGCCCATGGCGATGGAGAGTGTGACTAGCAAGACCCGCCAGTGTCAAGAAACGTCTTCAACAACGATAGCAGACAAAGGAGGCAGACATAGTCTGTACAAATGATAGTAGGCCAACTAGAATGGCATTGAGACCTGGTAATACAGTCTCATCCACTGACTTTGCATTTGTTAACCAGTCAGCGGTACTGGGCAAAAATGGACTGTCCAGGGTGAACACAGGAGTGACCATCTACCATGCTCAGTCTTGATTTCTAAGGCCAGCTTGCTGTCTGAGACATAGACCTCAGAACCATGTACTATTGGGACTATCACAAAGGTCTTCAATTTCACCAGTGCTCTTCATTGTTTTTTCAAGCAATACTGTAGAACTAGAAGCTCCATGTGTTTGTAGGATAGTGACATTTGTGGATGGGATTCTTAAATACAGACCTGTGAGATATAGACATCAGAAAGCTTAAGAGCTTCAGGCAACAGTGGACAAAATGACTGTTTTATGAAGTTCTCTAGACAACAGAATCGACACAGCTGATGTCACAAGTATCAGAGTTAATAATAGGAAGAGAGTTAATAATAGGAACAACAAAAAAGACAGCAAACTCAAGTACCTGGGTATCACTTTCGACAGAATGTCCTTCAAAGACAATATCAAGGCTGTTGCAGCAACGTGTCAAAAGGGACTTAATGCAATAAAGGTTATGACAGCATTGGACACTGAACAAAGAATGTTGTTCACAATGTTCCAGCATGAGATCCTCTTGGTGATTATGTGACTGGAATGCTCACCAGATCAAATAGCAGATGAATTTTGAACACATATAGAATGAAGCCATGCGAGTGATTATGTGACTGGAATGCTCACCAGATCAAATAGCTGTTGAATAACACATTTAGAATTTAGCCATGGGAGTGATTATGTGACTGGAATGCTCACCAGATCAAATAGCAGATGAATTTTGAACACATATAGAATGAAGCCATGCGAGTGATTATGTGACTGGAATGCTCACCAGATCAAATAGCTGTTGAATAACACATTTAGAATTTAGCCATGGGAGTGATTATGTGACTGGAATGCTCACCAGATCAAATAGTTGTTGAATGTTGAACACATTTAGAATTTAGCCATGGGAGTGATTATGTGGTGTACAAGATGTACCAGTAGTATGTATGCGATATACATTTGTATTGCTGACTATTGCAGATAGGCTTAAACTGCTGCAAGTGAGGTTCTCTACCTCAGAGCAGATGGACACAGACGAGAGTGAGGTCCATGAATTGGATCATTCTTCCTCACTTACATCCAATGCTTGGACAAGTCAGTTTCATCTAATTATCACCACAGCAGCATCGTGGTGCATCAGCCTGCCAAGCAGCCAAGGTTGCACAGGCAGAGATGTATCTTTAAATCCCCCACTTACTGCGGCTTTCACCTGTTGTCCTCACTGCTCAAGAACTTTCCAGGCTCATACTGGACTAATCATCCACCTTCGTACTCATAATCATTGATCATTACTACTTTAGATGAAAGTGGTCTGCATCACTCGGGATGGACGAACAACAAAAACCTCAGCAAAAACCTCAGCGCAGACGAGAAGCACCCTTCGAAGCTCTAGACCAGTGTTTCCCAACCTTTATTGTGCCATGTCCCACCTACTTCCCAACCTTTATTGTGCCATGTCCCACCTACTTCCCAACCTTTATGGTGCCATGTCCCGCCTACTTCCCAAACTTTGTTGTACCATGTCTTACCTACTTCCGAACCTTTGTTGTACCATGTCTTACCTACTTCCGAACCTTTGTTGTGCCATGTCCCACCTACTTCCCAACCTTTGTTGTACCATGTCCCACCTACTTCCCAACCTTTGTTGTACCATGTCCCGCCTACTTCCCAACCTTTGTTGTGCCATGTCCCACCTACTTCCCAACCTTTGTTGTGCCATGTCCCACCTACTTCCCAACCTTTGTTGTGCCATGTCCCACCTACTTCCCAACCTTTGTTGTGCCATGTCCCACCTACTTCCCAACCTTTGTTGTGCCATGTCCCACCTACTTCCCAACCTTTGTTGTGCCATGTCCCACCTACTTCCCAACCTTTGTGGTGCCATGTCCCACCTACTTCCCAACCTTTGTTGTACCATGTCCCGCCTACTTCCCAACCTTTGTTGTGCCATGTCCCACCTACTTCCCAACCTTTGTTGTGCCATGTCCCACCTACTTCCCAACCTTTGTGGTGCCATGTCCCACCTACTTCCCAACCTTTGTTGTGCCATGTCCCGCCTACTTCCCAACCTTTGTGGTGCCATGTCCCACCTACTTCCCAACCTTTGTTGTGCCATGTCCCACCTACTTCCCAACCTTTGTTGTGCCATGTCCCACCTACTTCCCAACCTTTGTTGTGCCATGTCCCGCCTACTTCCCAACCTTTGTGGTGCCATGTCCCACCTACTTCCCAACCTTTGTTGTGCCATGTCCCACCTACTTCCCAACCTTTGTTGTGCCATGTCCCACCTACTTCCCAACCTTTGTGGTGCCATGTCCCACCTACTTCCCAACCTTTGTTGTGCCATGTCCCACCTACTTCCCAACCTTTGTGGTGCCATGTCCCACCTACTTCCCAACCTTTGTTGTGCCATGTCCCACCTACTTCCCAACCTTTGTGGTGCCATGTCCCACCTACTTCCCAACCTTTGTTGTGCCATGTCCCACCTACTTCCCAACCTTTGTTGTGCCATGTCCCACCTACTTCCCAACCTTTGTTGTGCCATGTCCCGCCTACTTCCCAACCTTTGTTGTGCCATGTCCCACCTACTTCCCAACCTTTGTTGTACCATGTCCCGCCTACTTCCCAACCTTTGTTGTGCCTCCTATGTAACTTAAACTCTGGATGAGTATATTTTCGAACTGCCCCATCCCCCTTCTTAACAATCAAACCGCCTCCTCCCACCTCTCATGGGGCATGGGCCCCACGTTGGGAAACACTGGGAAAAATATCTGGCCAGGAGATGAGTAGATCAGAGTGGCTGAGCAACAAGCAGAATTATGTAGGATTCTAATCACATTGGGTCGGGAGTGCAGGAACTGACCAGCAGGGCTGAGCAATCAGAAATTCAACAAATGATTCATGACAATTCCTACTCCAGTCTATGTCATTATCAATACAGATGGCTTTGTGTTGAAAGTCAGGCGAAGTTCTTAGAGCAACAAAGCATGGCATATATCACAACATCTAGTCTGAGAATGGAGGTAGAGGCGGTCACTGCGGTCTTCCACTGGCTTAAGATTCAGCTTTGAGAGGAAGTGAACAGTGTGGAGGCACAATTAGAATATCACTGTCTCAATAGAATGGTGCAACGGGTAGTGACTATGGATCAACAAACGGAGACTCCATGCCCTGACAAGGCAAGACGGACTTACAATCAGACTATTACCATCGGTGTTGACTGAAGTTCGATACTATCTTCTTTTCTACGTAAATGTAAAAATGTAAACACCAAAAATAATAGGTAGGGAGAGGGGGGAAAGGGGGGAAAGGGGGGAGGGAGGGGAGGGGTGCTTTTTTTAATGAGGAAAGAAATAGTTTATGGAAGGAGCCAGGATATGTGTGAATTCACACTGGCAGACACACAATTGTGTAACATGAGTCTTTCAAACTGAAGGAGGTACAAAACAATAGAATATATGTATATATATACGCTTCCAGAGCAGCGGTTATCAGCCATGATAACCTTCGGAACACACATATTCACTGAAGTTATCAAGTGGCAAGGGCAATTATTGTATGGCTGCGGGTCACCAGCACATAAGGAACTGTGTTAAAGGGTGGCCACATTAGGACCAGCACATAAGGAACTGTGTTAAAGGGTGGCCACATTAGGACCAGCACATAAGGAACTGTGTTAAAGGGTGGCCACATTAGGACCAGCACATAAGGAACTGTGTTAAAGGGTGGCCACATTAGGACCAGCACATAAGGAACTGTGTTAAAGGGTGGCCACATTAGGACCAGCACATAAGGAACTGTGTTAAAGGGTGGCCACATTAGGACCAGCACATAAGGAACTGTGTTAAAGGGTGGCCACATTAGGACCAGCACATAAGGAACTGTGTTAAAGGGTGGCCACATTAGGACCAGCACATAAGGAACTGTGTTAAAGGGTGGCCACATTAGTAAGTTTGAAAACTGCTGTTCTAGAGAGTAAGGACAGTTGAGCAGTTCCGTCACCACGGAGACAGACTCTACTGCGTACAGGCGATTCAAATGACTGAGTTTAACCAAATATTCTTTATAAAGCATTTATAAACAATCTTCATTAATTGTATTTGTTCTGCATTTAAAAAAATGTTAGTTGCGTATCCTTTACAGGACGTTGCAGAGCCAATTCCCACCTTTTTTTGGCTTTTGTGGTTTTTCTTGGCAAACTTATCGACTCCCAGTACCACTGTCGAAACCAACGCAAGACGGTCTACTTCCAAATCGCCTACAGCTAGGAACAAACCGGCACCTCGACATTACGAAGCGCTTTTGTAACGCCTAAGTCACTGACGCCGATTGTTCAGCACTGCTGATATATAATGGTGCTTTCCCTACTTGTAACATATCAATATAAACCTACAGCAAATGTTGTGTTCGTTTCTTTCCCTACTTGTAACATATCAATATAAACCTACAGTGTATGTTGTGTTCGTTTCTTTCCTATTTGTAACTTATCAATACAAACCACAGCCTTCTCTAGATTACGCCATTTAACTAAATCGCCATTTAACTAAATCACGTGACTTTTTGGATGGGAGTCCCTTGAAAACTGGTTAGTGTAAGCCCTTTCCATGTGTTGCATTGTGTGACACTTTAATGTGCTTACAAAGTTCTGGGTTCTGAATGAATTCGTATTACAAATCTGCAAGTGGATATTGTGAAGTGAATATACAAGATTTTCAAACTTTGCTGTTAGATTACAGCAATTTGAATTTAAATTCACGGGAGACAATCACGTTGTGATCTGTGTGTCACTGTTTCTAGTCAGTAGATTGGATTTTTGGGAACTGGCTGTTTATTCTTTTTCTACTTTGAATGTGGAAAACTTACTTTTGGGGAAAATACAAACAGGTAGTTTAGAAGCCAGATCTGGAAAATATTGACAATTGTCAGGTGCAAACTATTTTGTGTTGGAAGAAAACTATTGCTTTCATATTGATTTTGCATAAATGGTGCAACTACACTGTGGATAAATTGTGTCAAGATATTTCTGAGCTCTGGGTAAGTAGATAAGAACAATATTTACTAACTAACCTCTCATAGCAAAGTCACTCTTTGCCTCTTTACTATTTGTTGACTGACAGTATAATTGTATGTTGCTTAGCGAACACTGGCAGAAACTTATGGTTATTCATTTACGTCTTATGCACATTTGCAGTTGTGTTCATTTTTGTGAAATTTCTGCTTCACGAACACTGGCAGAAACTTATGGTTTTTCATCTACGTCTTATGCATATTTTCAGTTGCACAGTGTGTGTTCATTTTTGTGAATTTTCTGCTTCACGATCACTGGCTGTAAACTTCTGGCTGTTCATCTAATTCTGGACTTTAGTCTTGTGTATGTTTCACAGCAGTATTTTTATGCGCTAAATTTGATAAAGTACAAATGTCAACCCCCTCCCCCGCCCGGTTCCTCTGATGCAACAATACCCTCTCAGAATCAAAGAGTTAGCACTGATATGGAATAGCTTTCAGTTTATTTCTTCACGTTATTGATGTTTATGTTCATGTTGCCTGTAGCAAAAGCATTTTTGTTTGTTTGTAAGAGCCTTTATTGTTATATTTAAATAGCACACATATTTACCTTAAAAATGACATAGTTCTATAAAATATGTCGAAAATTAATTAAACTGTAGTTTAATTTGTGTATACATCTCGATAAAAACTGTTAACACAGAGGGACTCCATTCTTGCACAAGAACGGGAATCCCCGTTGACCCAGTTGGCCTATAAATAGAGAAGGCTGTGTACAAACCTAGTTTATGTTGTGTTCGTTTCTTTCCCTACTGGAAACATATCAATATAAACCTACAGTGTATGTTGTGTTCGTTTCTTTCCCTACTGGAAACATATCAATATAAACCTACAGTGTATGTTGTGTTCGTTTCTTTCCCTACTGGAAACATATCAATATAAACCTACAGTGTATGTTGTGTTCGTTTCTTTCCCTATTTGTAACATATCTATATAAACCTACAGTGTATGTTGTGTTCGTTTCTTTCCCTATTTGTAACATATCTATATAAACCTACAGTGTATGTTGTGTTCGTTTCTTTCCCTATTTGTAACATATCTATATAAACCTACAGTGTATGTTGTGTTCGTTTCTTTCCCTATTTGTAACATATCTATATAAACCTACAGTGTATGTTGTGCTCGTTTCTTTTCCTAGCATATTTGATTTAACGGTTCTTTTTTGTTTAGCGACCACATCCCGCGAGATTTAGGAAAATACCACATTACATGGTGGTTAGGGTGAGTAGTAGTCGCCAGTTAACACAAACCCCAACCCGTCTATAATATGGGATGTCCCTAAATCTCGCGTGATGTGGTCGCTAAACAGAAAAGAACTGTTAAATCAAATATGCTAGGAAAAGAAACGAACACAACGGTGATGGATAGAACGGTGATGGAGGGAACGGTTATGGAGGGAACGGTGATGGAGGGAACGGTAATGGGGGAACAGTGATGGAGGGAACAGTGATGGAGGGAATGGTGATGGAGGGAAAGGTGATGGAGGGAATGGTGATGGAGGGAACGGTGATGGAGGGAACGGCGATAGAGGGAACGGTGATGGATGGAATGGTGATGGAGGGAACGGTGATGGAGGGAACGGTGATGGATGGAAAGGTGATGGAGGGAACGGTGATGGAGGGAACGGTGATGGAGGGAACGGTGATGGCGGGAACGGTGATGGAGGGAACGGTGATGGAGAGAAAGGTGATGGATAAAACGGTGATGGAGGGAATGGTGATGGAGGGAATGGTGATGGAGGGAACGGTGATGGATGGAATGGTGATGGATGGAACGGTGATGGAGGGAACAGTGATGGAGGGAACGCTGATGGAGGAAACGGTGATGGGGGGAACGGTGATGGGGGGAATGGTGATAGGGAAACGGTGATGGAGGGAATGGTGATGAATAGAACGGTGATGGAGGGAACGGTGATGAATAGAACGGTGATGGGTAGAACGCTGATGGAGGGAACGGTGATGGAGGGAACGGTGATGGAGGGAATGGTGATGGAGGGAACGGTGATGGAGGGAACGGTGATGGAGGGAACTGTGATGGATAGAACGGTGATGGAGGGAACGGTGATGGATAGAAAGGATTATGGAGAGGCATGATCGCCCACGCCAGTCGACAAGGCACCCGATGATGAAGATGATACTTAGGGGTTGAAAATGTGGTTTCACAATCCCAACATGAGTATCTGCTTCGAAGACAAATGCAAGCCATTTGATTGCACACTTTTGTTTTGTGTTCGTGTTGACATCAATGTGAACTACGTAACAACACGCAGTGACAAACTTCTTCCTTTTATGCCGCAATGGAGCATAGGCCCTCAACTAACTAACGCCAAGTGGTCCTATCCTTTAACATTGCATGCTGCTCACCCGTACCCCACCCCCTATCTTTTTAACTTAACTTTCTAGCTCCCTTCTCCGTAAGCTCTGGTCGGCCTATGTGTAATCTGTGTTAACATGGCTATGATAGTATACAAAAAGATAGCCCCCAGGCTATGATAGTATACTATCATAGCCTGGGGGCTATCTTTTTATAGTAGTGGGGGTGTCCAGCCAAGTGTGCCTAGGAATATTAGATATTCTGTAGTGCCAGAGCTTGAGTTGCCCTACTCCTGAAATAAGTTGAGCGTATATTGGCCACGGGATCTCCCTTAGACCAATACGACCCAACGCCTCAACATTATTATTTCAGAGTGCTGTTGGTTCTTAAGGAGCAATCCTTAAATCAGGCTCGCGACACGAGCGATATGTGACACATACTGTCAGAAATACCTCAGTGGTTTCGTCATAGTGATTTAAGATGAGAAGCCTATAAAGAACTGTTTAGAGTGATGAACACATCTAGGGATTTTGAATCAGAACGAACTGCTCCTCTTTCATTTGAGACACTGTCATCTACTAGGTGGCTTGTGCGTGGAAAGATTTTGTTCAATATGTTGGTGAACTGGAAAGAATTGAAAGCTTATTTCACATGTGCTGAATTAGCACAGACAACGTTTGACACAAAATATAAAGTAACATTGTTAAAAGGAAATGCTGTTATACCATAATAATTTTTTGTACTTTGTGTTTGCCACACCAATTGTACAAGAATTTGAAAAACTGAGCAGCCTTTTTCAACAAACAAAAGCTGATCCTCATGAACTACACCAAGAATTGTCCATGCACCAGAAAAGTCTTAAGAACAGACTGTATGACGTCAATGAGCAGAAAAAATATTCATCACGTTGACTTTGGTATTAAATTCCTAACGGAATGTAATGCGTTCCTACAGAAGAATAACAGGACTGAAGATCAGATAGAAAGAAAAAAAAACAATGTTAATGAAAGATGCATGTCTATGCTAGAGGAAGCTCTCAATCAAATTACGTGTAGACTTCCCACCGAGAATATATTTCAAAATCTGTCATAAATTGAGCCCTTTGGCAGTTTTAAATCAAATATCAAGGACACAGTTTTCAGAGCTACCATTTTTATACCTGGCAGAAAACAACATCAGTATTATAGAAGAACAGTACAGAAAACTGATTGTTGTCAACTGGAAAGAAGAAGCTACATTTAAGAAGGGTGGACTACCTATAAACAGACATATTCACCAACAATTGACTACAGTGATGAACAGCTTGAAGAATATTATGAAGAACTACAACAAACACTGAAAGTTGTTAAATCATCAGAGGTCCTAATAGTTATGGGAGACCTGAATGCAAAAGTGGGGAAAATGAAGCACAAACATATTGTAGAGCAATTTGGCATGGGATCAAGGAATGACAGAGGAGACAAACTGATATAGTTTTGCGAAGAGAACCAACTCATTATCTGTAATACATTTTTTCAACATCCACCTAGAAAACTGTTTACGTGGGAGAGTCCAGGAGATATAAATAAAAACCAAATTGACTATGTAATGATTAGAGACAGATTCAAAAACAACATAAAGAACGCCAAAACATACCCAGGTGCGGATATAAATTCAGATCACAACCTAAACCCTGTGGTAATAAAAATACAAATTAAACTTAAAAACGCAGGAATAAAAACTTAAAGGTCACCCCTCATAGACATATCAGCTTTGAAACAGCCAGAAATACGCCAGCAGTACCTAGTGGAGCTTACAAATAAATATGACAGATTAATAGTTGAAAGCATGGAACAATATCGACGGGAGAATCCAGAGGACAAAATTAATACAAAATGGGAATGTTTCAAAACTAGTATAGAAACAGCTAATGCCATCTTACCAGTGAAAGAAAACAAGAAAAATCAAGTATGGATGACTGAGGAAATTATCAACAAAATGACACAAAGGAAGAAAGCAAACAACACTCCAGAATAGTCATTAATAGACAAAGAAATACGAAATATGTGTAGAACTGCTAAAGAAACATGGTTCAGTTAAAATGCACAGAAATAGAGGATCTTGAAATAAAACACAGGACCAAGGAAATACATGCAAATATAAGAAAACTTACAAAACAAGGAAAAACATTTAACAGGATATGGTTGTATTAGGGGGAAGGATGGAAAAAATTATTGTTGATAAGAAAGATATAATAAAAAGATGGACTGAATACACAGAAGACCTGTTTTGGGACAACAAAGGTGACAAACCGCTGAATCCATAATATTCAAGAGGGACCAAACATATTAAAGTCTGAAGTAGAGAAAGCCATTAAACAGATGAAGCAGGGAAAATCTGCAGGTCCAGACAACATGACTGCAAAAATGTTAAAATCATTATCTACTTTTGGAATTGATACTATCACAGAAATATGCAATGACATTTATAACTATGGGTACATTCCCAGGGACATGAAAACATCTGTTTTTATCACACTACCCAAGAAATCAAAAGCTGTTGATTGTGAAGATTACAGAACTATTAGCCTAATGAGTCACGTAACTAAGTTACTCTTGAAGATAATACAAGCAAGAATTCAAGATAAAATAGAGAAAGAAGTTTCTGAAGAGCAATTTGGATTCCGTAAAAATAGTGGTACTCGAGAGGCCATAATTTGTCTAAAGATGCTAACTTAAAAATATATAGAAGTTCAGAAAAATATTTATGCATGTTTTATAGATTACAAAAAAGCTTTTGACAGAGTGCAACATGAACAACTAATTGCAGCTCTTCAAAACATAGAACTAGATGGAAAGGATATCAGACTTATTAGAAACTTATACTGGGAGCAAGAAGCAACAGTAAGATATGACAACATCTGCTCACCCCAGATAGAGATAAAGAGAGGAGTAAGACAAGTATGTGTGCTGTCTCCTAGCCTTTTCAACTTATGTACAGAAACCATTTTTAAAGAAATTGTAGAATTACCAGGACTGCACATCAATGGTAGAATAATAAACAATCTGAGATATGCGGACGACACAGTGTTGCTAGCAGAGAGTGAGCAGGAGTTGCAAGAGCTAAGGAGCAAGTAAACAGAAGGAGTGCAGAATTTGGATTAGATATAAATTTGAAAAATGACAAAAACCATGATATTTAGCAAAGAAAATATTCAGTTAACAATCATTGGAACAAGTTAAAAATGTCTTATATCTTGGACAAGTAATAACATGTGACGGCAGAAGTGAAACAGAAGTCAAGAAAAGAACAGGGATGGCCAAAAACATTTTCAACAACATGCAAAAGTTACTGACATGAAGAGAAATAAACAGTACATTAAAAATGAGAATTGTCAAATGTTATGTATTCTCAACCTTACTGTATGGCACAGAGACATGGACAATGAACAAACAACTGGAAAATCGTATAAATTCTTTGGAGATGTGGATATGCAGAAGATTAGGTCGTATTTCATGGAAACAAAAGCTATCAAATACAGAGGTACTGAGGAAATTGGGAATGAAAAGAGAGTTGCTAGGTGAAATAAAAAAAGAGACAAGTGAAATATTTTGGCCACATTAAAAGACATAACAGTATTGTAAAGATCATCCTATCTTTGAGAGGGAAAGGTTCATGGTAGGCGTGCAAAAGGCAGACAGCGTTACAGGTGGGAGGATAACATCAAGAGATGGACGAACAGCAGTATGAGTGAGTGTACATCAAGGGCAAAGAAACAGGGCTTGTTGGAGATCCATTGCAGCCAACCTTCATTGTGGAGACGGCACCTGATTTATTGATCAAGAAAGCCGACCGTCCAGAAGCAATGGCAAACTACTGGATGTAAATTGCCTAGAGAAACCACACAACAGCCAGGGGCTGTTAGGGTTGGTTCTGCAAAGTCCTGTAAAGGATACGCAACTTAACTTTTTTTTTATGTGCTGCAATATACTCCCCAGAAAATGAGCTCTCATGATTTCACTTACATAATCAATTGTGCGTATTACACAATGGCAGGTCACGCCTACAGCAAGTTGCAACTATGCTGCTTCAACTTTATCATTACTTTGACTAGGAGTCATTGTAGTAATAAGCTGTGATTGGCTTTTTGACGGAGTTTTCATCCTGTTTGTCGGATTTTTCATAATTTGACATGTTACTAATTCTTGGTGCAACAGTGCATCCACATAGTTTACAATATGCTGCCTCTGATCCGTCTGAAGATCTTTTGAGCCGTGGGTATGTTTTCTCCCAATTACTATTATACTTGCGATTGCTGTCATAAAATGGTTTTCATTTTTTTTTAACAGGCTGAATCACTTGGTATCAGTGGTGGGTTTTATATCCCGCATTTATTCTAGTAAAC